ATGACGTCATAGTAGGCAAGATGATGTCAATTTTAGGATACAAGTTTTCGTTTTATTGGTATTTAGAGATGTAATTTAACTCTAGAAAATGAAAAGAAACGTGTAAACATTAACAAAAATAAAATGTTTTTATTTTGTTACGCTTTATATGTCATTTTAATTAAAATCTACCACCGATGACGTCAAATATGTACATCAAATAACTTTGGAATTGATCATGTTGTGGAAAGAGAATTTGGCTAAGACGGCTTGTACAAAGATACGTAAAATGGAGTTTAAAAAGAAATATCGCGAATATTATGTGAAATCCATATGGAGTTTAGTTAATTATACAGGTATGCTAATTTATTTGCATAGGTTATATTTTCTTTCGAAGACAGTAATAATAATAATAATACTTTATTTAGAGAAGGTTGCCTGATTAGTGTGACACACTATTCTTCCTCAGGGCCTTCTAATTACAACAACAGTATTACATCAAATTAGCAAAGATGAACAAATTTAGAAAGTGAATTATAATACACGTATATACACAATGTCACATGATAATAATGATAATCATAATAAAATAGAAATAATAAACAGATATATTTATATGACATAAAAAGTAATACATGTATAATGTCACATGAGTGAGATAGTTCAGAGTAATCAAGTTCTGCTGTTGAAGATATACTTTTCTACATTTCGTTTAAAGATTGGCAGAGTTGGCGCATATCTTACATCTATAGGTAAATTGTTCCAAATATGAACACCGGAATATTGAAGTGAATTTTTAAATAAATTTGTTCGGTGTTTTGGTAGGTGAAGGTCAAAATTAGATTCTGAACGTAAAGTATAAGCATTAGAAGTTTGAGAAATAAATAAATCTTGCAAGTAAGCCGGGCTCTGATTGTTAAATATCTTGTACAACAAAATACATTTATGCAAAGTTACTAAGTCAAAAACAGATAGCCACCTTAGTTTTTCAAATAATGCCTTAGAAGGAGCATCAGGGGCAGCATCAAGTATAATTCTAGCAGCCCGCTTTTGGAGCTTATGGATTCTCTCCATGTAACTATGTGGTGCATTACCCCAGATAGTCAGACAATAATTAATGGAAGGCAGGATAAAGAAAGGCATTGTAAAAAAGTTTTCTGGTTTTCAAAGGAAGAAATTTCTTGATTTTCCGCAAGGTAAACAATTTATATGTTAAAGATTTGCAGACCGAGTCTACATGATCATGAAAGTTCAGTGTTTGATCTATATGTACCCCAAGTAGCTTTTCTGTTTCAACATTGGTGAGGTGTTTGTCAGAGATATGTAAACTGAGATTTTGATTATCTAATTTTGATTTCCTTTGTTTAGAACCCATCAGCATACATTTTGTTTTATCAACATTTAGAGCCATTTGATTTTCTAAACACCATTTTTCAATATTTACTAAATCAGAATTTAAAGCTGTTTCAATACTAAATATATTATTCTCATAAACATGTAGAGTTGCATCATCAGCAAACATATCGATATTTGAATGACTTACATGTAAGGGAAGGTCATTGATATACAACAGGAACAATAGGGGGCCTAATATTGATCCCTGTGGCACTCCTGCTGTGACAGGTAAGACATCAGAAGAAGTTGTACCAATTTTTACACATTGTGTCTTGTTATACAGATATGAGTGAAACCATTTAATTGATAATTCATCAAAGTTGTAATTCTTTAATTTTTCTATCAGAATTTCATGACTCACTAAATCACACGCTTTGCTAAAATCAAAAAATGTTATACCTATTAGATTACCTTCGTCCATAGCATGCAACCAAGCATCTGTTAATTTGGTTAGTGTTGTTTGACAAGAGTGAAATTCTCTGAATCCAGATTGAGATTTTGTTATAAGATCAAAAGTGGAGGTGAAATCTCGTATTTGGTTTGCTATGTGCTTTTCAATTATTTTGGATAATGTTGGAAGTATAGAAATGGGACGGTAGTTACTGGAGTCTGTTTTGCTTCCCTTTTTATATACAGGGGTGACTTTTGCTTGTTTTAACTTTGATGGAAAACTACCATTGCTGATACTAGCGTTTATTAAATGAGTTAATGGTTTACTAATAATACTAGCTGATAGTTTTAGGAGACGAGGTCCAAAGAAGTCAGTGCCTGCAGATATATTGACGTCTAGCCCGTTCAATGAATCAAATACTTCAGTTTCACTAATTGGTTTAAGGCTAAAAAAGTTGTCATCACAAAGTTTAGATTTTGTGAATTGTCTTAACAATTCTGGATCGAATTTGTAGTTTGGTAGATTATGTAAAAGTTTATTTGAAATTCCTGTAAAGTGCTCATCGAAAATATTAGCAATATCTTGTGAATTTTTAGTTTCTGAGTCATTATGAATGATATGGGAAGGGGTTAAGGTTTTAGATTTAGATGCCAATTGATTAAGATATCCCCACATCTCTCTTGGATTTGAACTGTCTTCGATGGCTGATTTGTAATACAAAGTTTTAGCATTGTCTATCAAGAGTACAACTTTATTTCTCCATATACGGAAATTATCATAATCCCCATTACGGTGGTATAAATCTCGTAAATGCCTAGCTTCGTTCATTTCTTTAGTTAGCCACTTTGGTCTAGTTCACTTTTAACTCTCTTACATTTTATTTTGGCATGTTTGTCAAGGACATTATTAAACATTATATAGAAAGTATCAAGAATGTCATTAGGATCGTGTAAGTCTTCAAGACTATCAAAATTTTGATTTGTCAGGTCAGACAGAAAATGTGCTTCATTAAAGTTCTTGAAATCACGGTATTTAATTTCAATGTGCTTGTTTCTACATTGCATGCAATTAGATTTCCGGGGTGCACAAATAGGATAATGATCAGATAAGGATATTGGGGGTACACTAACTTCACATATGTTATCTGATATGGTGGTATAAAAGTGATCAATTAGAGTACAAGAGGTGTTAGTAACTCTAGTCGGCGCATTAATTACTTGTGTTAGTCCAAATTCCTCTAAAGCAGATGTCCAGCATAGCGGGGGGTCTTTGAGTAAGTCAATATTAAAGTCACCAGTAATAATAATTTCACTGTCGTCACAGCAGGAGGCGATATTTATCTCCGTATACAGTCAGCTATATACGTAATCCGGCCGGTCTTTTCTCTGCCATTCGTAACAAAAATAATGCGATAGAACAACAATAAGCTGGATATTTCAAAACATAAGATAGATTCGTACAGATGGAAAGTTTTCCCTCTGACAAACTTTGAAAGTGCTGCTAGAATCCCGAGATAAACATGGTTTTACGATAAATCTCGGTTCATATGTATAAAATTCAAAACATGGGGTAGGGTTTCGTGCAAATATATGGAATAATCATTTTACTGACAGGACAGTGGGATTCTAACAGCACTTTTTAGGCAAAATAGATGTTTTTCAACTATATTATTTACTGAAAGAGAGTACCTGGTATTAAACTCCGGGGTATTGTTGTTCTGTTATCTTTTTTATTAAGGGACATTCTGCTATTAATAGAAGTTCACTAATAATAGAAGTCACGTGATGCCATGGCGGCGATGTACGTCTTTACGTCAGACGTTCTATAAGAGGTTACGTTTATCAGCGGTTTTGGTAATTAATCCAACTTATTTTCTTTAAAAAGTCTAAATTTCCCGAGAAATGACTTATATACTTCCTTAACATTCCTGCGAAGATTTTTTCTTGAACACTCAACCCAAATAAAAAAAAAACTCTAATATTTAATTCGTTTATTGCTGTAAAGATTTTTTTAACCTTCAAAAGAAAAAAAAAGATGATTGTTACATTGATTGATTTCAACTTTAGTATTTGATTTTCAACACACAGCAACCTGTATAGTACCCATCATCAATTCTATCAATACAAAGAGCAAGCAGGTTGCCAACTGGATCTATACAGATCCCATAAGGATTATTCATTCCACAGTCTATGTAATTTAGGAACTGTCCATCCTGGTCCATGATGTGAATACAGTTATTATCATGATCAGTTGTAAGAATATGACATTGACTGTCTGTTGTGATTCCTCTTGGACGGAATAGTTCATTTTTTGGAGCAGGAGAGTGTCCAAAGTATTTAAATCTCAATTTTCCACCTTGATTGACCACCACTATTGTGTTAGACCTACATTCAGCAACACATATATCGAAATTCCTGTTCTCACATATATATTTATGAGAACCATGTGTGTAAAGGGGATCGCCCTTATCATCAAACTGAATGGTTTGTTTCTCTGTTGAGCCAGAATAACGGACAACTTTTGATTGTTCATTGTCATCACTTTCCATGGTAACCAAGAGGTAAGCAGAGGAGGTGCTACATATCTTACGAGGTTTCCAGTTCTTGAATCTAATCATCTCCTGTATCTTGTCATCCTTTACTATGTTCACAGTTTTATACACGTCATCAGTATAAATTATATCTCCACTACAGGTCACTGTTATATCTGCTGGGATGCTTCCTGACTTAGTCCTGATAATTTTGGTATGTAAGTGCCTTTTAGTGTCATAGAGCTCTATGATATTGCTGAAATCACATGTCCATATCTTTTCATCACCCGGACAGGCAATATTTTGAAGATAGTTTTTAAAATGGAATATATCAATGTTAAATTGTTTTCTTGGACGATGGAATCCAGATTTCTTTTTAAGCAAGGAGAAACCCTGTTGTGTTGATTTTTGAGTTGTCTGTATTTTCACATCTTCTGTTGTAAAAGGAATTGACGATAACCCTCCAAATTGGTGAATAAGTTTTTCATCTTGAATTGTATTAGGAGTGAATTTAGGAATAAAGAGTACAAGATTTTGTGGAAGCTCTTTATATTGATTTACTTTAGGTCTTAAACTTAAAATTCTTGCAATGTCATTTGTGTTTTCAGCAAAACATGTATTTAATGAATCGGTTTCACTTTTAATGTCAACAATCTTCTTGCATATATTTACATTTGCAAATGTTTTCCTTTACATAACACTACTGAAGGCAAGCATTTTTATAACTGTGTAAATACAGGTTTGGGGTCAAGAGGTCATAGATGTGCGTTTGGATAAACATTCCACGTAATTTCTCTGTGACGTCATAAAGGGTCGACGCGCATTTAGTAGATTACGTACATGCCGTTGGGTTTGAAAAATTAACGCATTTCACACGTTAAAAGTAACAATGAGGCAAATATAAAGTATGAATAAGTCACAAATGTAAATATAAGTAATAAGGTATCATTTTTTGAGTTTTATTGAGATGTAAAACGGGTTGACACATGATCAAATCTTCCATAAAGCCCTTCGGGCTTTATGGGATTTGATTGACCAACCCGTTTTACATCTCAATAAAACTCAAAAAATGATACCTTATTTCTTAAATATCATCAAAATATTGTTGTAAAGTTTGTAAGTGAGAGATCTTCATTTCATTAACTTCGGTTTAAAGTTTATTGACAAGTTTGTCAATTTTTCTGTGCCAGTAAATTCCATGATTTGTTATGACTGTCGATATATCTTCATATTCCTTTTCTAAATGACTCATTTTAACTTTTACATGTGCTGCGAAGCTTTGGTAGGTAGGATAAATTGTTTCATTTAACTCAAGTAGCTCTTTTTTCATAAAGTCTTTCTTTTCACTCAATACTTGTTGGATTCTTGATAACTTATGACCGCGGTGTAGATCAGAATCCAGGCAAGTGAGGCAGACAGGAACGTCACAATGTCTACAGTACATCTCGCATCGTTCTGTTTCATGGTATGCGCATCTAGGGTAGAAAGGGGTGTGTTCCTTGATTGAAATTTGACCACTTTGTGATCCTTGGATTCATCAGAGATGTGTTCTCCCACACAGGCTTTGCAGAGGTTGACAAGGCACGTATCACAGTGCATCTGTACCACAGCAGTCTCACACAGGTCACATCTAATCACATCCTGAGAACTAGTATTGGGGTCCATACGTAGATCTTGTAGCTTTAAAATTTAAGAAAATTTAACAGTTTAAGAATTGTGAAAAACTAGTTTTAATTATAAGAATGAAGAAGAGCCTATACATTTTTAAAGTAAGAGGTTGTCCCTGCCCGTTTCCTAGCTGAGCAGGTTTGTTAAGGCAGCACACAGATTCGGCGAATTTACACTTTGTTGTAATATGTACTACTTCCTGTAGTGTAAGTCCCGCTAAAGTCTAGAAAATGAATAATGATAACAAAAGTTTTCTCCATTATTTTTCCGAATTATCAGTGATACATATTACAAAAACTCTTTTTAAACGAATACGTCCGTGTTATATTGCATGTTTAAGACATGATGGGATGTTGAGATGCAGATGTAAAACCTGGTTAAAGAACATATACTTTACTTTATATACAGACCAAAGGGTTGACAACAAATAAATGTTTTTTAATAATGCGATGTCCATATTACGTATACATAAAAAGTGTACAACTAAGCGATTGTTTTTTAATATACCCGGTAAATCAAATGAGTAAAATGTGATTACGCCCTTGACTTTAAAAGTTCAACCAAAGAAGTGGTTAGAGAACACCTCTGATGTAAAAAAAAAAAGATAGGCATGTCTGCTGTCTATCCATCTTATATTTTGAGAACTGTACGAGACACTATGGCTTTTGTATTTTACCATGGTTACTGACCAAGTTCTCCTTGAGCATTGACACACTTCTACAAATAACGTAAGGTACCAATAAACAACGTTCTTTTGACGTTTGAAATGTAATTCCTCTATTAAGCATGTACATTATTTTAGAAATACAGTCTTTCAGTCC